GTCTACTTTAAAGGACAACTGAACTAAATTAGAACTGTCAGTTCTATTTAACTTAAAAAAAAAAAACTTTGCCGAGATAGCTTCAAATCTCCACAACTCTGCCTATTCACCACTTTTTAAAAATTCATTCATAGCTTCTTATTCCAAAGATTGTTCTGACTTCTGCAACATATTCTGAATGGTTTATAGTCTGTCCTTCTCAAGTGACTTGGAAGATTTCTCCAGAGAAGTGAGAAATCCAAACTTCCCACAAAGTGAGATCATCTGAACCTCATGGCACACTTCGGCCCCTTGCACCTTTTATTTTCCTTATTCCAAGAGGCTGGTAGGGCCAGCAGGTTTCTCTCGGACCACCGATATTGTCCAACACGTGCCTACAGCACCAACTGCACATGTAGGATCTGAAGAAAGAGAGGTTCCATTGATAGGACTCTGGTGAGAGTCTAAAGTCTGGATTTCTTGGGTGTCCTTCAATTAAAAGCATTTAAATAACTCCATTCTTTCTGGGGAAAATCCAACCTAGCTGACCCTTGTTTTGTCACTCCTTGTCTGTTTTATTTTTTTTATTTTTTTCTCACAGGCAAATCTGTGCCTGAGGTCCCATCTGCAGAAATCCAGGACTGAATTCGTACTTGAGATGTATTTTCCAGTTGTCTCGCCTTTAGCATTCACGTGCCTCTAACAAACAATCCCATTTCATCCAGACTGGATACACACACCCTTGGCATCAGGGCTAGGAAGCCCATGACGTGAGTCAGAGAATCACGGGGCTCAGGAGCTCAGCAGTTAGGAATCCCTGCTCCATCTCTCAGTAGGGCTGGTAAGTTCTGTCTGGGAGGGATGATGAGCTGGCCCATCCAGGAGATGGAAGAAAAGAGCTGGAAGGTCCTGTAAAGTCCTGCATCCACTATGCCTAATGGATTATCACTAAGATGAGAGTTTCCTCCCTCACTGCCAACCAAGACCTGCTAGGACCTGGACAAGTGAAAACCATGGTGAAATAAATGTTGCTCTGTCCTCACCCAATGATAAATGCAATCCCTAATAAGACAGCACATCCTGAGCCTTTAGCTAGGATATTACAGTCTGCTTCCTTCCAGAATGTTCCACATCCAATGATAACTACTCAAGAGCAAGAAAATAGCCCTCATTTCATGTGGGCATGTTTCCTTTGCCATGATGATCAATAGCAGATAACTCTTCTGGGCACACTGTATATTCCATTTTCTGGGTTTTATAAAAACTTGGAATATGAAATAACAATACAACTAAAAAGCAAATTCTTTCCAATCCCATGTTCGTTTTAGATAAGGTCCATCCTATTATTTGGTCATTAGTAAGGCATTAGTCTTTTTTTGGGGAGAAAATCGTGTTCAATAGTAGAATATTGCCTAATATTAGCCAGTAGAGTTGGTTAATTGGTCAGTTTCTATTAAGTATCAACCAATACCTGTTTAAAACGAGACGTTCCTTTTTATCCCTAAGGATTTATCTTCTCAAATATCCACCTTCTGAGTATTTTACAATTTAGTTGGCCTGAAAAGTTTCAAAATCTTATCAGAACATCAAATTCACAAGATGCAGGATTAGAACACTCTGTATTGATCTTTGGGCAGAACAGACCCACACGTTCAATACTAGAATAGAATGACCAAGACCATGTGTAAATGAGGGGGTCAGAATTCTAACCTACTCAGCTCAGGTGACCTATTATAAGCATTTCTTGTAATTTATCAACTAGGTTCCTTCTCTTTACACCCTTCAAAAATGTATCCACTATTGTTTGACCTTTCATTTAAACCCAGTGTACTCAATATGCACGTTAATACAAAATAAGGTAGTTACACAGCTCAGATGCCTACTAATATAAGGAGCAAGGATAGACCCTGACCTACTGGATACATGGTGATAAGCTTCAATGATGCTCAACTGCCGTAGGGAGCTTTTGGGCCATCACTTGGTGGTCCAGGGAATTCTTGTCATTCTGAGGTGCAGAAGGAAACTGCAATGGCTGGATTTTCTTTGCAGTCTCTTGACATCCCTGAAATTTACTGGATCTGATTTCCTCTTTAATGCAATTATTTTGATGAACATTCCTTGCCAAACCAAAGCTAGCAGTCATCTTTGCTATGATGAAGTCTACATTTTTCCCTTATACAATTAATAGTTTAACAATAACATTTTATATTTACATTATTTGATTGTATTCAGGGATACTCCAGATGCTCAGGAAGCAGGGAACCCAATAATTTATAGTGTTTACTGTGTCACTAAAAAAAAAAAAATTTGACAGACAAGAATTTTATACTCTTTCTTAGTTGAATAAAATTAATTTTGTTTTGTTAAAGTTATTGTTATTTGCTATTTGTATAGCACCTTAAAGTATGTCAGATGATTATTCTAAAAAATTTTTATTGAGGTATTTAAAAAAAAATCCCACGCCAAAAATCTTCTAGCCATTTAAGGTAAATTATATCCTATTCTAGGACTCAAATGATTCATTTTATTTGCAATAGCTCTCTTTTAGACTATGAGTACAATATATATATGTGTGTATATAGTTCTATATGTATATACACACACATATATGTAAAATTTATATATATGTAAGTATGTACTTATAAATATAAATATATATTTGATTATATATATGCATGTATGTGTGTAATCATACATGAATCATTTGTTATTGTTAAAAATCTGTTATTACTAATTCGATACAAGTTTAAAGATTCTGAGGGCAAATGCAAAAACACAAGGATGTTTAATATAATGTCTCCTTGGCGGGGGAGGATATAACTCAAGTTGTAGAGCACATGCCTAGAATGCACAGGGTCCTGGGTTCAATTCCTAGCACCTCCTCTAAAAATAAATAAATAAATGAACCTAATTACCTCCCTGCCAAAAAAAAAATGAAAAAAAAGTCTCTTCAGAGGTTATTGTCAATATTTATCAGAGGGGTGGGGATGATATTCTTTAGTGTAAAGACTAGCAAACACAATTTAAAACAGAAATTAAAATGTCCTATTTTGTAATTGCATTGTATGTGTCTGATTAAAAAAACACATCTGAAAGCTGAGGTTATTTTTCATGGGTTGCCATTTACAATAAGGGGTGAACATGACAATGGTTGAAGAATAATTTTGGATAATCTGTAGGTATTTAAAAACCAGTACATGATTTAGGCATTTTATAGCTCGTCCGTAAAGATGGAGCACCTCATCAAAAGAAAGCACGCTCCCTCAGCCAACTCAAAAGAGCATCCTCACCGTACCTTCATGGGAGCCAGCTGGATGGGAGTGATGCATGAAGGGTCCACCATGGGCTTCGGCCTGTTGGCCGTGTCTGCTAATAGGCTGTGCCACTGCTGGGGGAGGCCGGTAAATTTCTGCTCTTGTGGATCAAACCCCGTATGAACCCTGTGTTCAAAGTTGGACGGGCCGGATATTTCAATCTTTTTCTTTTTCTTCCCAAACATGATGCAAAAACCTGAGACATGCAAAAAGAAAAGAGGAGTTGTTAGAGCTCGCCAGCAGAAGACATAGGAAAATGAGCAGTTCATTTATAGTTATATCTTTTCTATTATTCCTCTACCTATCAGCTGGGAAAGATGGAATTTGTATTTTCAGGGTCTGCAGATTAGATAACGTCATTCCAAACTTTTCATTCTCTCCTTGCACTTACCATATGGAGTATAGTTTCCTGACCCACTGAGCTTGGATTTGACCATGTGACCTGCTTTGACTAAGGGCCTGTGGATGGAAGAAAGTGTTTCATTTCAAGGCCCCTCTTCCTAATGCCATCGCCTTGGGGGTTGGGATTTCAACATACGAATTTTGGAGAGACACAGTCAGACTGCAGCACTGCCTACGTATTCTCTTAACAGGGCTTAGACTTTTCCCAGCACTAACTCCCCAGCCTTTATCAGAACCCATTTCCCCATCCATCCAGGTGGTTACTTCAGACTAATTTAGGAAACTCAGTAAGGTAATAATGAAAAGCTAAAGAAAGATGATAAAGGCTCAAAAAGACCTTGATATGCTCTCTCTCATGAAAAGCATAATTACATTTTTTTATTCTTTAAGCACCCTACTATAATTAGGTTAATAAATATAGATCAATTGATTTCAAACATTTCAGAGCATCTAAGCCAAAGTATAAAGAATTAAAGGAACCCAGCTGTAGTAGACTGTCACAGAAACAGTCCCCAGTGTTTCAGGTCTCCCAGTGTCCATGCCCTTGGGTGAGTCCCTATCACTCACTCTGGACCTGGATATATAACCTACTGTGGCCAGTGGGACAATAGAAACCATAACACAAGCATGAAATGTGCTTGCCCTTTGGGGCTTGCCCTATTGCTGCTCTTGGAACCAGCAGCCAGCATGAGAATAAAGCTGGAGAATGACAGACAGCGTACCCTGTCACCCATCAGCCCATCAGCCCATCAGCCCATCAGCCCATCAGCACAGTCAACAACTAGCCCTGGAAGCAGAGCTGCTGGGCTGACCAGCAGTTGCCCACTAGGCAAGCCCACTCAGAACCAGCAGAAGAACCCCCAGCTGAGCTGGACCCAAAGTGCCAACCACAAATACATGGCTGTTGTGTTAAGCCATTACATTCTGGAGTAGATTGCTGCACAGAAAAGCTGATTATTATCTTATAACTTGCATCTTCATTTGCCTCTATTTTAGCTGCTTCAAAGTCTCAAGTAACAATGTCTAATCTGAATAACTATATTAGCTGTTATATAATTGTGTCCACTCAGAGGAGTCTTTTTTCAAAGTCTGTTTTTATTGCAGTATAGTCAGTTTACAATGTTGTGTTAATTTCTGGTGTACAGCATAGTGATTCAGTTATACATACATATATATATATATATATATATTCCTTTTCATATTCTTTTTCATTATAGGCTATTATAAGATATTGAATATAGTTTCCTGTGCTATATAGTATAAACTGATTTTTGATCTATTTTATATATAGTAGTGTGTATCTGCAAATCCTGAACTCCCAATTTATCCCTCCATCCTTTCCTTCACCCCTGGTTACCATCAGTTTGTTTTCTATGTCTGTGAGTCTGATTCTGTTTTATAAATAAGCTCATTTGTGTCATTTTTTTAGATTCCACATATAAATGATGTCATATGGTATTTGTCTTTCTCTTCCTGATTTACTTCATTTAGTATGATATTCTCTATGTCCATCCATGTTGCTGCAAATGGCATTATTTGATTCTTTTTTATGGCTGAGTAGTGTTCCATTGTGTGTGTGTGTGTGTGTGTGTATATATATATACACACCACATCTTCTTTATCCAGTATCTGTCAGTGGACATTTAGGTGCTTCCATGTCTTGGAAATAGCCCTGTAAATAGTCCTAATATGAACACCAGGGTGCATGTATCCTTTCAAATTAAGAGTTCCCTCTGGATGTATGCCCAGGCGTGGGATTGCTGGATCATATGGTAACTCTATGTTTAGTTTTTAAAGGAATCTCCATACTGTTACAATGGCTGCACCAAAGTACATTCTCACAAGCATTATAGGAGGGTTCCCTGTTCTCCATACCCTCTCTCCAGCATTTGTTATTTGTGGACTTTTTTTAACGATGGCCATGACTCAGAGGAGTCTTGATTGTGATGCTACTGTCTGGCTGGTCAAGGGCCTAGAACATGTTCAGTGGCCAGGAAATTATGCCGAAGAAGTAAGTGACTCTACATACCATCTCTCAGTGTTATCCTGTAAAAATAAAAATGCATTTGAAAATATAATTTGGTCATGTGTTGGCTGAGTCCACTTAACATTTTAATAAACTTTATGGTCATCAAAAAATAAAACAAGGTCGCAATTGTTTTAGGAAAACAAATCATTTGAGAAGAGTTCTTTTTCCATGTATTCACTCCTGAATAAGCACTGAGAATATTAGATCAAATATTTTTAGAACCAGAATAGACATGTCCTACGATTCCCTTCCTGCTTGTGAATTTCTTGGTGGTTGCTATGCCATTCAAGTGAGGATATAAAAAAGGAAAATATCAATGAACTATACTAATCTTGTTTTAAAATAAGACAGTTGTGGAGAGGAAACCTGCAGCTGAATTAATTTGCCAACACTGCATCCTGTGATACTACGCAACTGTAATTTAAATGGTAATCAAGGCAGTTCTGCATGTCTAGTAAGTTTGAGGTAAAGAGGAAACAACTTAAAAGGAAAATTAAGATGTTCTAAGTCCTAAAGCAGTGTTCCTGTGAAGCTCACACTTAACTGAAGGCAGAGAGAGAACCCCCATGATGTACGGTGACATCCCAGGAGTGGTGGCCATTCCTCTGACAGCAATGAGGAATGCCAAGCTCAGGTGAGGGACACATGGTAGGGGACCCTCCTTACATCCAGGTCTGCTTGGTAAGTGGTTTCTTTTCTCTGATGAGTCCATGCTTGGTCTGTACCTGGCAAAGTGCTAAATGTTGAATGTGACTGATCTCACTTAAAACTCACAGTAACCCCATGCTGGGGTTCCCCAAGACCACCCCTAGGTTTGATTTGCTAGGAGAACTCACAGGACTCAGCATAGTATCGTAAGACTCGGCTGTGATTTATTACAGTGAAAGGATACAAAGCAAAACCAGCCAAGGGAAAAGGCACATGGACAAAATCTGGAGGGAACCAGGAGCAAGTTCCCAGGGATCCTCTTCCAATGGACTCAAAAAGGATGTGATTAATTCCTCTAGCTCTAAATTGTGACAACGTGTGGGAAGTGTTGTTTCCCAGAGAAGCTTGTTAAAGACTCAGTACCTGAGAATTTTATTTGATACCCATCACATAGGCACCTCTGCCTGGTCCATGCCAAAATTTCTGCCTCCAGAAGGAAAGCAGAGGTTCAGTATAAACCATCTTGTTTGCATGAACAGTTTGGTCGCAGTAAGCCATTGGAAACCCTCTCCAAATCCAACTTCTCAGATGCCAGCAAGGGCCAACTTTGCAAATCAGCTTCTCTAAGACATGCAGTCTCAGTCCTGCTATGTTACTGCTTCTGCACAAGAGGTGTTATTATCATACCCCCATTTTACAGAAGAGAAAACAGTAGCTCAGCGGTAAGAAACTGGCAAAACTGGAGACTCAGAACCTCAAAGCACATGCTTTCAATCACTGGGAAGATGGTATAATAAAGCAAAATTCTATCTATTGTGGCAGAAAATAAAAGGATGGAGAAACCTAAAATTGATATAGCTGTGTATATATATATATATATATATATATATATATATATTTTTATCATATGTAAAAACCTGAAAAAACATTGGCAAAACCAAAGAAATGTCATTGTGACCTCTGGAGAAGCAGAACTTGGAGTTATCACATGGTAAATCAGGGAACCACTGGATTTTTATACTTTTTTAGTAAACCATGTGTGGTATATTTCTTTCCTAAGATATTTTTAAACCAACTGAAAACAAACCCTTGCTAAAATTAATGTGTATTAGAATATATTCAAATAAGACTTCAAAAAATGGTTCTTCAAAAAAGATTTATATGAGGGGCAGAATAAAGAAGAGAGCTGCCACCCACCATTTTGAAATTATCTAGAGTAGACGTTCACAAATGACTGAAGAAGCGGCTATCTTTTGGGAAACAGACCAGGTGACAACTTGGTCTTCCAAATGGAGACAGCCTGTTTAGAATCTCATCTGCCTGAGAAAAAGCAGTTCATACAGAATGAGTGTTCAGCAAGATGTCCGAATCATGAGTAGACTTCTAATCTTGAGCCCTCTGACCCCTGTTTCTGCTGTTCCACATTACTTGCTGAAGTTTTTGAATATTGGCAAAACCTACCTAATTCTGTGGTAGCCATATCCACTGAGAGAGGCATGGAGCTTGGGAAAGAAATCGCTCTTTGGTGAATTTCACATTTACAGTTGAATGAGCAGTGGAGACATTTCAGGAAGCCACATATAAGAGATGGACATAAACTATGCGG